TAACTATGAGCACAATCGGTGTGGTCTTATATGGTTATTTTGGAAGTCGGAAGTGAAGATAACAATTCTTCAAAAAAAGTTCTAAAATGATCTCTGTTCTGGTAGCTATGGAGGATCAGGATGAAGAAGTAGTCTGCTGTTTCATTTATGCATCAAACTTTGCTGCTGAGCGGAAAAAATTGTGGCGAGAGATGGAAACACTGCACTCAACAGTGTGTAAAGATAAAAGATGGATGATATATGGAGATTTTAATGAAGTACTGTCAAGTGATGATCACTCAAATCCCAGTTCATTTGTTGCTGATTCGACTGGATCGATGGACTTTAAGGATGTGGTTCAGCAATGCGCTCTGATTGACTGATTCACACTGGATGTACTCCTAGTTTCTACTGCAATAGAACAGTGATGTAGTTGTAATATAAAGGATTCGGAATCTAGAGGACCAGTGTTACTCTATGACTTTGCGAGGATTGAATTAAAGCTAAGACGAAAGATGGTTTGTTTGTAACGTTAACGACAAGTAAAAACAAGCTAAAAACGATTTCAATTCAAATTTAAAACAAGCACTAGATCAAGGTAATTCGGAGGAGTTTCAGAGATGAGAATCAAATGACTATTCAGGGCACAACTTAAATGCAGGTCTCGAACTCAAACATAAAAGCTTATCGATCCACTGTCGTGATCTCGATAACTTTATCTAACAACCTAAATTCTAAACTGTCGTTTGAACCTAGAAAATTGCAGACAAGCATTAACGAGCAGGTTTGATATGTTCACGATTTGCCTTAACTTCAACTGTCGTTGGCTAAGGACAAATCGCTCACCAGTGTTTGTTCTAGCAATCTATTACACTTTTGATGAATAGATTAACCTATGAACGTAAATTGAATGGCCAATTCAACCTAAGCGTTAAGTCTAACAAAGGTGAAGACAATCGATTTTAAACCCTATTTGCATTCAATTCTCTAACTCATGAAATCCTTTGAAAACCTTAATCTAGCTAAGAGATCTACTCAGACATGGAGGAAAGAAACACAGCAACATATGAAAAGGAATTCATGAATTAAAATCGCAGAAGAGATAATAGGGTTCAGAATTCTTCTCAAAGTGTAGCAGATTTCTTCTCCCAAAAGCTTACAAGTAAAAACTCCCTGGTTCAGAAAATTGTAAAAAGAAAGCGTAAAAAGTCTGTAGAAAAACGTGATGATAAAAGGTAGGCGGCTCTGGACTTTTTATTCTCTTTCTCCTCCTAAAATTAGGTAAAAGTCAATTTCCTTATTTCTCTCCAAGCGGTTGGAGCAGGTGCTCCACGAAAGGGTGATATCGGGAGCAGGTGCTCCCGACCAAGAATGATCCAACTTCGTGTAAATTGGCCTCTTTTGCTCAGCTTCAGCTCCTTTTTGCACCAAAAACCCCAGCTGCTCCAAACCGTCGCCTAAAGCCTCCTAGTTACCTGAAACGACTTAACAAAGACTCAAAAGACTCTAAAAAGATCAGTAAACACAAGTTATAATGAGTCAAAATCTCCACTTATCATTGACATGGGGTATCGGGGTCCTTGGCTTACTTGATGTAACAAAAGTCAGGAAGGGCTTATCTACAAGAAACTTTACCGAGTCCTGATTAATGAGGAATGGCTCCTAAACCACCCTTATTGCCACTCTGTCTTCGAAGTTGGAGGAATATCGGATCATCTCCGTGTATGATTTTATCTGACGAGTACGGAACATCGACCTAAGAAACCATTCAAGTTTAGAAATATGATGACCAGGATGTCTGAGTTTTCTTGAGCTGTGGAAGATTTCTGGGTAAGAACGCAAGTGCTATTTCACTCTACCTCAGCGCTGCATCGACTGACGAAGAAGCTTAAAGAGATGAAGCCTATGCTGCGAGAAATGTCGAGAAATCAGTTTGGGGATTTATAAAAGCATACGAAAGAGGCATTTGCTGATTTATGTACAGCACAAGAAGCAAATGCAATGCATCCAACAACAAGGGGTTTCGAAGTGGAATCTCGAGCTCTCTCTCGCTGGGAGGATTTATACGAGTTAGAGGAAGGTTATTTGAAACAGAAATCAAAATTTCACTGGATGAATATTGGAGACAAGAGGAACAAGATTTTTTTACAGAGCAGTATGTGTCCGCCAATCTCAAAATCTGATCCGTGAGGTGGTGGATCGGGAGGGAAATATTTTGTGGGACATGATGGATATCAAAGCAGAAGTAGAGAGACATTTCAAGGATTTCATGACCCACCAACTAGAGGACGTCCGAGGCATACAGGTTGGAGTTCTTCAGGATCTTTGGGTACTAGGTGTAGTGGCGTCAATTGTGAAATGCTTACTTGCGATGTCACTGGTGAAAAGATTCAAAAAGTGCTGTTCAAGATGCCGAATAACAAAGCTCTGGGGCCAGATGGGTTTACGACGGATTGTTTCAAGAACACTTGGAGTATAATTAGATCTGATGTGGTGGTGGCTGTACAGTCATTTTTCAGGTTTGGGTTTCTTCCAAAGGGTATAAACTCGACCATCTTGGCTCTGATCCCAAAAAGAATGATGCAAAGGAGATGAAAGATTACCGACCGATATCTTGCTGTAATGTCTTCTACAAGATCATATCTAAGATTCTTTCAAATCGGCTCAAGGGTATTCTTCCAGATGTAATTGCACCAAATCAAACTGCTTTTGTTAAAGATCGCTTGCTGGTGGAAAATAATTTGCTGGCATCATAGGTAGTTAAAGATTATCACAAAAATTCAGGATCAGCTCGATGTGCAATGATGATCGATATAGCGAAGGCATTTGATACGGTTCAGTGGGATTTTCTATTGAATGTTTTAATTGCCATGGGGCTTCCTGCAAGTTTCATCAATATGATAAAGCTTTGCATCTCATCTGCTTCTTACTCTGTTCAAGTAAATGGTGAGTTGGTCGGCTATTTTCAAAGCAGTAGAGGATTGAGACAGGGCTGTGCTCTCTCACCTTATCTGTTTGTACTATGCATGAATGTTTTGTCAAAGATGTTGGACAAAGCAGCAGTTGAGAGACGGTTTGGATACCATAATCAGTGTTCAAAACAGAAACTAACACATATGTGTTTTGCTGATGATTTACTGCTTTTCACGGATTGGAAAGAAGTATCGATTGCGGAAATTGTTGATGTTTTTGAGAAGTTTGCGGTGGCTTCGGGACTAAGAATAAGTTTAACAAAATCAACAATCTTCATGGCAGGAGTATCTGAGGCAAACAATTCAACGATCATTGCTAGATTTCGTTTTGGCCAAGGGCAGTTACCGGTCAGGTATCTTGGGCTTTCGTTGATGATAAAGAAAATGACGTGAGCTGACTATGCCCCATTAGTAGAACTCATACGTAGATCTATCGGTTCATGGACAGTACGACATCTATCTTATCCTGGCCGTTTGCAACTGCTATCATCTGTAATCTCTAGGATCACAAACTTCTGGATATCTGCTTTTTACCTACCTCGCTGCTGTATTAAAGAAATCGAGTCCATCTGTAGTGCTTTCCTGTGGTCAGGACCAGCACTAAACACGCAGAAAGCAAATGTATTTTGGTTCGAAGTGTGTAAACCAAAACATGAAGGGGGGTTTAGGCTTGAGGTCTTTGCGTGAGGCTAATACAGTAAGTGGCCTCAAGTTTTTATGGCGTTTGAACTCGAACACAGATTCTCTATGGTCAGTATGGATACATAATCAATTTCTATGGGGAAAATCAATCTGGTCTCTGCCGGAATTGTCAAACCAGGGCTCATGAATTTGAAAACGCATTCTTAAAACCCGGAATCTCGCTCGGAAATTTTCATGCATAGGCGTGAAGAATGGAGAACAAACATCGTTTTGGTATGATATATGGAGCTCCCTTGGATGTTTGATTGATGTTTTTGGCGCTCAAAGCTGTGTTAGACTTGGCATTCCGGCACACTCAACCTTGGCATCAGTTTGGAGGTCTAATCATCGTAAACAGCATCAAAATGCCGATCTTTGTGCAATTGAGGATGCTATTACAGTGGCCAAGGATGCGCGAATGAGGAGGATGATCAACAGCTCTGGCTAGGGAAGAATAATGTTTACAGAGACAGATTCTGCTCAAAGATTACTTGGCAGAATATCAGAACAGAGGGCGCATGCAGTGCTTGGAGTCGTATGGTGTGATTTCAAAACGGCACTCTAAAATACGCGTTTCTTACCTGGTTATTTATGAATAACCACCTCTCTACAGGTGAATGCATGGTAATGTGGGGGCAAAGGATCTCTGTCTCTTGCGTTTTCTGCTCTTAACCTCTGGAATCTCGAGCACATCTTTTCTTTGAGTGTGCTTACTCACAGCAGATTTGAGAGGCTCTCACAGAGGGGCTACTTCGAGTGCATTACTCATCCACTTGGATCGGACTTGTAGATTTACTCACGTCAACAAACGTGGGTAAGACAGAGCTGTTCCTAGCTCGATATACCTTCCAAGCGACATTATATTTGATCTGGAAAGAGAGAAATGATCGGCGTCATGGTGCAATCCCAACCCCATCAACCTCGATAATCAACACTCTAGACAAGACTATTCGCAGCCGCTTAAGTTTTCTTCGCATGGCGGGAGATCTACGATACAGCAAGGGCCTCACATTTTGGTTTGGCCAATGAGGAGCTCCAATTTAGACCTGTTTCAGAGCATGTTTTGATTTCGATCCTGACCAAGATTGTAGCTAAACCTTTTTTTTTCATTTTCATTTTTTTTTTCTATCAGAACTTTAAAAATATAAAGAGAACAGTCTTTTTTTAAATAATTTAACATATTTTACAAAAAAAAAAGTTTCTCTCAGCCACACCATTTCCCTCCCTCGAATAAAACGTCACTTTAGAGGTCTCAAAACCGGTCAAAAGAGATAAGAAGTCTTGTTTCATTGCACACAAGACTGGCCACGGGTTACTATCAACAAGTGCATCAATCAGGGATTTGGAATCGACTCAAAGATTATATTTTTAATAATTAAATCGTGACACACAAACAACAGCCCAACGGATGGCCTCCGCCTCAACGTCAAGGACCGTTTTGAGCTTCAGTATTGCCCTCACACCCATCCAAAGTACTCTCCCTTGATGGTCTCTAAGCACCCAGCCTATGCCATATTGATTCAACTCTTTTTTCCAGGCTGCATCGACATTACACTTAAACCATCCATCCTGTGGTGGAGACCATCTATTACTCCTTCTAGAGACAATAGTACTCGGATGCCTCTTATCTTCCCCTTCTACTCTATTCAACCACTCTTCTGCATCCTCTATCGCTCTAGCCATAGTTCCACGGGCATCATAGTCCTTTTCTTTAAACAAAAAATCATTTCTTGATTTCCATAGTCTCTAAAGTATCCAAGGAACCACCTTATTCACTTTGATTTTGCTGTTTAATTCTCCCTCCACTGTAAAAACTCTATGGAAATTCGTAAAGAAAGAAGAGGACATCACACCATAAGGTGGGGCCGGAACTGGGGATACTGCTCAAACCAGGCAAGCATAAGGCCACTCAAAGAAAATATGATTCACTGTTTATCCTCCATATGGCATCTACCACAACTTTGGTCCCTAGCAATATGCATATGAGCCAGAGTAGCAGCGATAGAGAGCAAATTACTCAGACATTTCCAAAGAAAATGATGTACCTTGGGGCTTGTATCAGTCTTCCACACGATCTGGTAAAGAGCATTAATACTCGGCTGGTTCAACTCCATTGGACCTTTTTCCTCCATTATTTTTCTCCAGAGCCTATACCCAGATTTCACTGAGTAATGACCATTCTTAGTCCAATCCCAACTGTATGAATCTTTGCTATTCGGCCCAACTGTATGAATCTTTGCTATTCGGCTGATTTATGTACAGCACAAGAAGCAAATGCAATGCATCCAACAACAAGGGGTTTCGAAGTGGAATCTCGAGCTCTCTCTCGCTGGGAGGATTTATACGAGTTAGAGGAAGGTTATTTGAAACAGAAATCAAAATTTCACTGGATGAATATTGGAGACAAGAGGAACAAGATTTTTTTACAGAGCAGTATGTGTCCGCCAATCTCAAAATCTGATCCGTGAGGTGGTGGATCGGGAGGGAAATATTTTGTGGGACATGATGGATATCAAAGCAGAAGTAGAGAGACATTTCAAGGATTTCATGACCCACCAACTAGAGGACGTCCGAGGCATACAGGTTGGAGTTCTTCAGGATCTTTGGGTACTAGGTGTAGTGGCGTCAATTGTGAAATGCTTACTTGCGATGTCACTGGTGAAAAGATTCAAAAAGTGCTGTTCAAGATGCCGAATAACAAAGCTCTGGGGCCAGATGGGTTTACGACGGATTTTTTCAAGAACACTTGGAGTATAATTAGATCTGATGTGGTGGTGGCTGTACAGTCATTTTTCAGGTTTGGGTTTCTTCCAAAGGGTATAAACTCGACCATCTTGGCTCTGATCCCCAAAAAGAATGATGCAAAGTAGATGAAAGATTACCGACCGATATCTTGCTGTAATGTCTTCTACAAGATCATATCTAAGATTCTTTCAAATCGGCTCAAGGGTATTCTTCCAGATGTAATTGCACCAAATCAAACTGCTTTTGTTAAAGATCGCTTGTTGGTGGAAAATAATTTGCTGGCATCATAGGTAGTTAAAGATTATCACAAAAATTCAGGATCAGCTCGATGTGCAATGATGATCGATATAGCGAAGGCATTTGATACGGTTCAGTGGGATTTTCTATTGAATGTTTTAATTGCCATGGGGCTTCCTGCAAGTTTCATCAATATGATAAAGCTTTGCATCTCATCTGCTTCTTACTCTGTTCAAGTAAATGGTGAGTTGGTCGGCTATTTTCAAAGCAGTAGAGGATTGAGACAGGGCTGTGCTCTCTCACCTTATCTGTTTGTACTATGCATGAATGTTTTGTCAAAGATGTTGGAAAAAGCAGCAGTTGAGAGACGGTTTGGATACCATAATCAGTGTTCAAAACAGAAACTAACACATGTGTTTTGCTGATGATTTACTGGTTTTCACGGATGGGAAAAAAGTATCGATTGCGGAAATTGTTGATGTTTTTGAGAAGTTTGCGGTGGCTTCGGGACTAAGAATAAGTTTAACAAAATCAACAATCTTCATGGCAGGAGTATCTGAGGCAAACAGTTCAACGATCATTGCTAGATTTCGTTTTGGCCAAGGGCAGTTACCGGTCAGGTATCTTGGGCTTTCGTTGATGATAAAGAAAATGACGCGAGCTGACTATGCCCCATTAGTAGAACTCATACGTAGATCTATCGGTTCATGGACAGTACGACATCTATCTTATCCTGGCCGTTTGCAACTGCTATCATCTGTAATCTCTAGGATCACAAACTTCTGGATATCTGCTTTTTACCTACCTCGCTGCTGTATTAAAGAAATCGAGTCCATCTGTAGTGCTTTCCTGTGGTCAGGACCAGCACTAAACACGTAGAAAGCAAATGTATTTTGGTTAGAAGTGTGTAAATCAAAACATGAAGGGGGGTTTAGGCTTGAGGTCTTTGCGTGAGGCTAATACAGTAAGTGACCTCAAGCTTTTATGGCGTTTGAACTCGAACACAGATTCTCTATGGTCAGTATGGATACATAATCAATTTCTATGGGGAAAATCAACCTGGTCTCTGCCGGAATTGTCAAACCAGGGCTCATGAATTTGAAAACGCATTCTTAAAACCCGGAATCTCGCTCGGAAATTTTTCATGCATAGGCGTGAAGAATGGAGAACAAACATCGTTTTGGTATGATATATGGAGCTCCCTTGGATGTTTGATTGATGTTTTTGGCGCTCAAAGCTGTGTTAGACTTGGCATTCCGGCACACTCAACCTTGGCATCAGTTTGGAGGTCTAATCGTCGTAAACAGCATCAAAATGCCGATCTTTGTGCAATTGAGGATGCTATTACAGTGGCCAAGGATGCGCGAAGTGAGGAGGATGATCAACAGCTCTGGCTAGGGAAGAATAATGTTTACAGAGACAGATTCTGCTCAAAGATTACTTGGCAGAATATCAGAACAGAGGGCGCATGCAGTGCTTGGAGTCGTATGGTGTGATTTCAAAACGGCACTCTAAAATACGCGTTTCTTACCTGGTTAGTTATGAATAACCACCTCTCTACAGGTGAATGCATGGTAATGTGGGGGCAAAGGATCTCTGTCTCTTGCGTTTTCTGCTCTTATCCTCTGGAATCTCGAGCACATCTTTTCTTTGAGTCTGCTTACTCACAGCAGATTTGAGAGGCTTTCACAGAGGGGCTACTTCGAGTGCATTACTCATCCACTTGGATCGGACTTGTAGATTTACTCACGTCAACAAACGTGGGTAAGACAGAGCTGTTCCTAGCTCGATATACCTTCCAAGCGACATTATATTTGATATGGAAAGAGAGAAATGATCGGCGTCATGGCGTCATGATAGACTTCATAAAATTAATCCTTTGCCTCGAAGTCATGGTATACTGGTCCATAATTCTTGAGATTTGACTGATTTCATCCTCATCTCCTTTACAATAAAACATGCTATCATCAGCAAATAATAAATGAGACACAGCCGGAGCTGATCTAGCCACCTTCAAACCAGAAATCTTTCCCTCTTTTTTCAGCCTTATGCATCATCTTAACCAACATTTCAGTACATATAACAAATAAATAGGGTGATAAAGGATCACCATGTCTGAGTCCTCTAGTGGGTTTGATGTCTCCATGTGACTTCCCATTAATCAATACTTGATATGATACGGTGGAGACACAACCCATGAGCAAGTTAATCCATCTCAGATCAAAGCCTAAGATCGTTAACGCCATTTACAGAAAAAGCCCATTCCACTCGGTCATAAGCTTTGGTTTATATCCGTTTTTATTGCAATGAACTCCTCTGAGCATTTATTCTTAGACCTCAAAATGTGGTGGAGCTTGTGCACAACCAGAATATTATCCGTAATGAGTCGGCCCTGAACAAACGCCGCCTGGGTGTCAGAAATAATGGAAGGCAAGACCTTCTTCATCCTGTTAGCAAGAACCTTCGTTATAATTTTATAACTCACATTACTCAGGCTAATAGGTCTAAAGTACATCATCTTATTAGGCTTCATCTTATTCGGTATGAGGAAGATGTTTGTTTTATTAAGATCCTCTTCCATGGTCAACGACTCGAAGAAATCACTGACCATCTTCACCACATCATCACCGATTTGTTCCCAGAATTGTTGGAAAAAGTAGCCATTCATCCTATCAGGCCCGGGCATTTTCTAGCATCGATACCAAAAACAGCTCTATGAACTTCTTCACAACTAACAGGTTCCATAAGATTTTCACCCTGCTCCTGAGACAAAGAAGCATTCTCCAACTCTAAATCATTCAACAAATTCCTGTGAAAACCAATATCTTCAGAAGTGAACAGCTTCTTGAAATAATCTTCTGCTATCCTGCCTAAATCCTTTTCAGAGTGCCACTCCGTCCCATCATCATCAATTAATGAGTGGATCCTATTTTGAGCCTTTCTGTTTTTTGTTGTCGCATAAAAAATCTTGTGTTTTGATCCCCCTGCTTAAACCATGCAACTCTACTCTTCATCCTCTATAAATCTTACTCATTTCTATACTCCTGGTGGAGCTCTTTCTTCAGCCTTCTCAGCTCATTCAGATCAAAAAGGCATTTGGTGAGAATGCATATCAATCTCGTGAGACAACTCTTGGATTCGGATAGCAACATTAGATTTATTCTTCCTCTTCCATCCAGAAATAGCTTTCCTACATATTCAGATTCTTTCCACAAACGATCCAAACTGGTTAACAGAATTGCCTTTCCAGGCCTTTGAAACCTCCTCCCTAAATCCTTCTTTATGGAATAATCTTTGATCGTACTTAAAACCAGCCCTCACCAATCTCTGATCACCAATTAGACATGTAATTAGCGGGCTGTGATCAGAGCTAACCTTTTGAAGATACACTGCTTGGGCTTGAGGAAAGAGTTCGTTCCAAGCTTGGTTCACAACCATTCTGTCAAGCCTGCATTCAACTAGCTCATAGTTTCTAACTCCATACCAAGAGAACTGATACCCTGAATGTTTCACTTCCCACATTCCATGAGCTTGGAGCATCTGCCGGAATTCCTTACAAGTATCATCACTTCTAATAACTCCTCCATGCTTTTCTTCAGGGTTCACCAGTTCATTGAAATCCCATTCATCATTCAAGGGCCATTTATATTGAGTCCAATTCTAGTCAGTCTTTCCCAGATATCACCCCTGGCTTTTCTAACTGAGTCCCCATACACACAGGTAAGGAAGAAGTCTTTATCCTCCCATTGCACCTCCGCATCTATGAGCCTTTTATCTGAATACAAAATCTTCATCGACGCACACTCCCTCCACATAAGTGCCATACCACCACCCTTCCCTTGAGGTCCCACCGTGTGAAGATCAAAGTATCCCAAGTGACCTAACACATTCTCTAAATAAAATCTTCTATGTTTGGTCTCGCAGAAAAATGTTACTTCAGGGAAATGTTGACCACGTATCTCCCTGACTTGACTAACTGTAGGAGTATTCCCCACCCCCTGACAGTTCCAGCTCAAAAGCTTCATAGAGACTTCGAAGGGTTGGTATTTACCATCAACCCTTCTTTCAAAGATGATCCACTCTCACCAGCCTTTTGCAAAGCAGAGTGACCCGGGATATTTACTGCCACAAGAGTAGAATGAGAATTACCATATGTCGACCTCGAACCAGATCCTACAGAGGCATCACCCAATCTATGGAAAACCGAGAGAAATTCCATCCCACCTCCTTCCAAATCTGACTTCACCCTTTCCTTTCTTTTTCATCACTAGTTACCAATCTCCGTTTCTTAAGGGCCGGTTCATCCATACTGGCTTTCTCCTTTGAACCTGACCCCAGCCTTTTAAAGACTGATACCGCCTGGATCCTATCTCCGCTTTTTTCTCTTCGATCCGATCCTTGTCGCTTTTTCTCTTTAGATCCCGATTCACCTTTAGAGCATCATTCCTTGCATTTCTTCCTCTTACCTGAATCTGAATTAGAGGATCCAAGCCGTTCAAAAACCAACCGAGTTTGGTAGGAGCTATTCTGTCCAGCCTCCTCAGATGACAGCCTTTTCTTCTCTCTGCTACCAGTCTGGTTCCTTCTCGCCTGGGAAGAGTGTACTGACTCTCCTGCACTTACTGAGCTACCTTTCTCCGCCATATGACTCCCTTCAGAAAACTCTTTTTTCCTCCACACTTGAATTTGTCTACCATTTTCCTGGTTATAAGATGAGCCGCATCTCAGTGATCTGCTCAAAGTTTAATCCCCAGAGCTACTCTGCAAGAGCACAGATATGCAATTGTAGTATAATAGGGGTCGAACCACAGAGTCGAGAGATTCGCTCAATAAACCTATTAGAAATTGAATTACGCTAAGCAAATTAATGAGAAGCAAACAGGATGCAATAAAACGATGCAGTAAAAACATTTGTAAGATTCAGATGGGTGGAGATTAGGCTTAGGGCGTTTCTCAGGAAATCAATGCATGCAGATAAATAGATTAGTCAGGGTTCAGGTTTAAGCACGGTTTTTGAACTCAAATCACGAAATTATAATTAACCAACTTCCGTTGCGAGAATTATCTAAGTCTAAATCCTAGAATTCCAAATTCCTTTGCAAATCCTAAAGCTTTAATGCTCAAGTTCGATATGTTCACAAAGTATCTAAACCAAATTCCTTTGCGAATAGCTACTTTTCTAACTCTAGGTTCTTTCTAGTTATTCAATTACACTTCCGTGTCAATCAACTAACCTAAGATCTAAGTTCTAGGTGGCCATTCCAGAATTAGCTTTAAGAACAACCTATGGTGAAGAACTAAATAGATTATGAACCCTAATTAATCAATCAATCCAACATCCAAAGAAATCCTTTATGAGAACCCTAAACCTAACAGGCAAACTACTCAGACATGGAGATTGAAGCAATAAACATGAATGAATAGATTGCAGAAAACAGTAAATAGATTAATAAACAGGGGTTCGAAATCTTCTCTCTCCGGAACAGAGTTTCAGACTTGTCTTCCCAAAAGCTCTCCAAAAACAAAAGTTCTCTCTAAGAAAATCTCAGGTGTCAATATAAGGTGGCTAAAAACCCTATTTATAACTTAAAAACACGTTTTGGGCTTCTTAGGGAATATTTGGAAACTTCTGGGCCCAACTCCTTCTTCAAATAGGAAACAAAATCACTTTTTCCTTATTTCTGCGATCGGTATCGAGCGTCACTCTCAATGGTGTCGAGCGACACTAAAGCACATAATCCATCCTTCACGAATTTGATCCTGATTAAGCTCCAAAGTGCTCCAAAATATCCAGTTAAGCTCCAAACATACCTAAGACCTGTAAAGACTCCAAAAGACTCGAAAAACACTAGAAAGACTCTATAAATAAGACCTATACCATGGTTAAAAACCATAAAAACCATGATATATCACTCAGAGATTTTTCCTTTCCACCCCTCCGTCTTGTCTCTGATTCCGAAGAAGACTGACCAACATGCTTCTTTCTCGGACCTGCTTTCCTCATATCTTCCCCCATCCCATTATCAGTCTTCTTCTTTTTTTCATTTCCCGAGATCTTTTGCAGCCTCCTTTGCTACTCTTCTAAGTTGTCTTTCTTCTCTGACATCAGATCTTACTTCAGCCACATTGTATGGACAGCCCTCCTGATCATGCGTCAATCTCTTATACAGGAAACAGACCTTTAACAATTTTTCATAAGTGAGTTCCGTCCAAATTTGTTCCCCTGTTGAGAATTGTGCCAGTTTACGGAACTGAAGAGGTTTATCTGCAGGAACCCAGGCATGAGCTCTCACATATTCCACCGAGTTGGAATTCTTAGCATGTAATTCCACACCATCCACTTGCCTAGTGGAGAGATAATGCTCTCAACTGCTTGTTTCTTAAGGAGATGAATCAGGAGCCCTTTAATCCTAATCCAGAAAGAGATTTGATTAAGAAAATCCGGTCGCGGATTAGGAGTCCACTGATCAACCGCCACAATCCATCCATTTCCAAACCATGGTCCTTTGGTAAGAACAAAGGAGAAATCTTTCTCGCATTGGAAAATAAACTGGACTCGATGCTCACTGACACCACGACCTCGCACTCTATATTCAAGATCCCAAATGGGTGGCAGCGCTTTGACCAGACCGCCCACCTTATGCACTGCTGGGTTAAGGCACCGAACCATCACACTTAAGGAATTCTCCTCAATGAGATCCTCATTTTCCAAATCTGGGATGTCGACCGACTCTCCTTCCTCAAGTAGATCTCTTTCTTTCAGTTCCTCAATAAGAGAGAGCTCCTTCTTTTTCCTCAGTCTACTCATGGTTAAAGAACCTCGAACGAGATTCGCAACCCCACCATCAAACGAGAAAATCCAGACAAACGAAGCCACACAGGCCTAATGAACACTAAAGAGCTTCCCGAACACACAAATACAATCCTAGGATTTCAGATCTCGATTTTCGACTTCGCCGCTCGAGAGAGAAAAATCCAGACAAACGAAGCCACACAGGCCTAATAAACAGCTCACTAACACACTAATACGATCCTAGGATTTCAGATATGGATTTTCGACTTCGCCGCTCGAGAGAGAAACCCTAGTCGCCGCCCCATTTGATGACGTTTAGGGGAATGCCATTTTTTCTCCAAATATGGAGTAGCTCTATTTTTAACTCCATTTTACAGGTGGATTTTTTATTTACAAATTAATCCTTCACTATTTATAACTTCTTAAAACTATATTTTTTTATTTATAATTTAGGTCTTTATATTATATATATTTAATTTAAAATAAAGGATAAATAATTTAGAATTAAGAATAGAAAATAAAAAATACAATAGCATCAATTGAAATTAGTAATAACATATAATTAAAATATATAAGATATAGTGATATTAAAAATAACATAAAATAAATTAAATACAACAACTGACTAATAAAAATGGTGATATCTAAATTAAAATGTACTTTGTTTTTGTTATTTGAAATGTTGTGTAATGTTATTTTTAATTATAGTGGTTGAAATAATATTATAGTTTATAAAAAAAATTTTTAAAAAAAGAGAAATAGGTTTATCTATAATTTTTATAAGTAAAATGTATTATTAGTAATTAACAATAAAATAAGAAGAAAAAATATAATTAAAATATTTTTTTTGAGTTGAAAATAAAGAAATACATTGAAGAGAAATCCAACTCTATTTTAGAATTAGTTCATTTTGATGACAAAAATAGAATAATACATTGGAGATGCTCTAAAGATAAGGTTCTCTATTTCATTAATAAAAAAACTCTTACGATAAGATTGTTACGTCCATATTTTGCTTGTCACAATATCTTGGTTGATAGCTTTAGGATCAAGTTTGCCTATTATTCCTGGATTTGCTTTGGATTTGACCAAAAATGTCATAGTTATAAACCCAAATAAAGTTTTGATGGATTCGATCAAGACTCATTTTCAAACCCCAAGAACAAGAAAATCATACATTTATACTTGGACTTAATTATGTCTTTTTTCTTTTTTTTTGAAAAAATGTTAAATTTATTCCAAAAAACGCTTTTACATCTGAGATGCTAGCAAATCAAAACCAAAAAAATAAAAAACTATTACATTGTGCAATGATCTTAGTTTTAGTTTATGATCCTAGAAGCTATTTGAGAATTGGAAACCTTCTTCGTATTTTTTGTCACCAAGTTGACGAATAGAGTTGAATCTATTTTTCATTCCTTTATCAATCGATTTGATCAGTTGTTGCTGGGTCGAGTGTGAATCACCATGCCGCCTTCTGTTGCGTTCACCCCATAGATGGTATAAGGTGATCTGAAGTAGATACTTGGCTGTGAAGCTTTGCACCAACCTCTGATTTTGACGAGATAAGATTGTTACTATTTGTTCCCAGTCACAGGTGAAATCATTTCCAAGAACTCCTGCTGCTAGATTAGTCCAAATCTCTGAGGTGAATGGGCAGTCAAAGAACAGATGGTTTCTGTTCTCCAATGGGTGAAGACAGAAAACACACGATGTAGAGATATGATTACTCCATATGAGCATTCGGTCCCCAGTAGGTAATCGGTTTAGAACTGCAGTCCAAACGGTAAATGAGAATTTGGGTGTGTTATGAGAGAACCACACCATCGTACTCCAAGAAACTTTGGGACTGGCTTGTCGAACCTGCTTCCAAGTGTCTTGTGTTTTAAAAAACGGTTTATACTGACCCGATTTTTGCCTCCATTGAACGATATCCTCTTCATCTGCTCTATGTCGACCTCTTGCTGCTTCTATCTCATCTTCAATTCTGTTTAGAATTGGATGCCTATGTCTTCTTCTTCTTCGTGAAAAGAGGGCTTTTGCTACAGTTGCTTTTGAATCCAGACCAATATCAATATATCCTCGGTCACCAGTAAGATCTAACAGCCTTCCCATTGTCGACCAGCTGTCCATCCAAAAGTGAGTGGCTTTCCCATTTCTGGTTTCTTTTCGCAGGAAATTGCGAGCTCTGTCTAGCGTTTTTAGAATGTGCTTCCACATCCATGATCCCGGAGAAGAACTTTTCAGATCCTTAATCGACCATATTGAATTGCCTCTAGTAAAGCGAGAATGAATCCATCTTACCCATAGTGAATTTTTTGCAGTTTGAATTCACCAAAGAAGCTTTAGAACACAAACGTCATTGGCTTCTCTAACGTTTTTCAAGCCTAACCCTCCTTCATCTTGGTGAGCAAATATAATTCCAAGCCACCTTTGCCTTGTTCGAGTTAAGTTTTGGACCAGACCACAAAAAAGCTGAACAGAGGCCTTCAATTTTATCAATACATCGACGTGGTAGCCTATAAGCAGATATCCAGAAATTTATCAAACTTGAGATCACCGAGTTAAGCAATTGCAGTCTTCCAGCAAAAGATAGAAATCTTGTATTCCAAGAAGTCATCTTTTGTCTGATCTTTTCTATCAATGGGTTGTAATTTGCTTTGCTCATCCTCTTCGTTAGAAGGGGGAGGCCAAGATATCGTACTGGTAGTGTTCCTTCCGAGAATGGAGCACTGGCCAAAGTTGTGTTACGCAAATCCCCTGATACTCCTGCTAGAAAAACTGTAGACTTCTCAAGACTTATAGTTAGCCCCGATATTCTGGCAAATTCATCAAAAACCATAATGATTCCCTCCATCGAATGCAGACTTCCATCAGAAAAAACCATTAAGTCGTCTGCAAAACAGAGATGCGTGAGTTTAAGATCCTTGCACTTTGGATGAAAACCAATTCGTCTCTTTAAAGCAGCTTTGTCAATCATTTTGGACAGAACATTCATGCTTAATTCTGTCTTTTCATACCTGAGACTCTTGAACAATAAACCATATCTTAAGAGTAAGAAGAGACTAATTTTCTACACATGATGCTATTGTTGTGTATCAATTGAGATGAATATCCTAGACATTTTTTCATGTATTCCTAGAATATGTGCAAAGACTGACCATAAATAAACGTATACGTACATCCAGCATTTTAGCAAACACTGATTAAGCTTTATCTTTTCCACAAAACATCAGCCAAGTATCTAAATACTTGAACAATCAATGCAAGTCCCAAATCTTCTAAATCATATAGAAATCAAAGCTTGTTAAGAACTCAATAACAAAGAATAACTCTCTTTATTAGCTTAAGATAACTCAAAACTTAAGTTCTCAAACACAAACTCATAAGTTATGTCACAACTTTGACATCTCCTTATATAATAGCTTATTTCCTTTTTCCTAATAGAAACATAATTTCCTTTCTAGATAACTCCTAACAAATTTTTAGATAACTCCTAAGACATTCCTTATTCTAATAGGAAACATATAAGCTTGCTTCTAGAATGTTAACTTCAAGCTTAAGTCAACATTCTCCCCTTTAAGCTTGAAGTCTTCATCAAGCACACTTTGAACTCCTATGAGATCTCTCATCTCTTTAAACTTGATCCTTCCTAGTGCCTTAGTCAATATGTCTGCCTTTTGCTCATTACCTGGAATATGTTCAACCTCTACTTGCCCGTTTTCAACACATTCTCTTATGAAATGATACTTTGTGTGGATGTGCTTACTTCGCCCGTGAAAAACTGGATTCCTTGTAAGAGCAATGGCGGACTGATTGTCTATCCGAATGAGAACTTTCTGACTTGATACACCGGTGATTTCGCTGAGCAAATCTTGTAGCCATATTGCTTGTCTGGCGACTTCGGTGCCAGCCATAAACTCGGCCTCACATGATGACAGAGCTACAGTTTCTTGTTTTTGTGAGCACCAAGAGATCGGACTTTCTCCAAGATAGAAGATATGACCTGTTGTGCTTTTGCCGTCGTCAGGATCCACACTGTAGCTATTATCGCTAAAACCTGTGAGCCTTGGTGTCTCTGAGTTCGAACGCTTGAAGGTCAGTCCAAACGTAGTTGTTCCTTGTAGATACCTTAGACAGTGTTTCATTGCTGCTCCATGAGACACTTTAGGGCTCTGCATGTACCTACTTAAAACTCCTACACAATAAGCCAAATCTGGTCTTGTGTGAAGCAAATATCGAAGACACCCCACATTCTTTCGGTAACTTGTGGCATCAATATCTTTCTCTTCTTCGGACCTTGATAGCTTGAGTCCTGAATCCATTGGCGTATGAGTCATGTTGCAATTTTCCATTCCAGCTTCTTCTAGAATTTTTAGTGCATAGCGCCTTTGATTCAGTGTTATCCCTTCTTCGTTTTGACACACTTCTATCCCGAGATAGTATGTCAGATTACCAAGATCACTCATTTCAAACTTGGACGCCATCTGCTTCTTGAACTCGTAGATGTTCTCCGTATTTGTTCCCGTAACAAACAAGTCATCTACATAAACTGCGACAAGAAGGAGATTTCCACTTATCAGTCTTCGATATACCAAGGGTTCCTTGGAGCACTTTACGAACTGCAACTCCTTGAGGACCTGATTTAACTTATGATTCCAGGCTCTTGGTGCTTGCCTTAGCCCATATAAAGCTTTGTTGAGCTTGTATACTTTTTCTTCTCTCCCCTTTACTTCGAAACCCTCTGGTTGTGTAACGTAAACAGTTTCTTTTAACTCTCCATGAAGAAAGGCTGTTTTTAACATCCAGATGATGTATTTCCCAGCCATGTGATGCTGCAAGGTTGATAAGAAGTCTGATTGTCTCTATCCGCGCAACAGGTGCAAATACTTCATCAAAATCAATCCCGTACCTCTGCACATAACCTTTAGCGACCAGACGCGCTTTGTACTTGTTAATGCTTCCATCTGAATTCCTTTTGACCTTAAATACCATTTTAGGCCAATCGCTTTTGCTCCCTGAGCTAAATCCGTAAAATCCCATGTGTGATTCTTTGTAATGGATCGTACCTCATCTTCGCACGCGCTTATCCATTCTTTTGACTCCTTTGCCTCAGCAAAATTCCTTGGTTCGTTATTTAAACATAACAGCAGCATCTCTCCTTCTTCCTCGCACATCATTATAAAGTCTTCAAGATGTTTCGGTTTTGTCCTAGGTCGCTGTGACCTTCTTAGAACAGGTTGAGCTTCTTCATTCTCTGTTCCAAACTCCTCATTATTGTACACATCTTCTTCTTCATTATTGTGTTCGATGTCTTCGTCCTGCCCTGTCTCTGTTCCTTCAGTCTCTGTTTCGACAACCTCATACTCTGTTTGCTGAATTCCATGATTTCCAAAGTTTCCAAGGCTGATTTTGAATTCGCCTGTCTTGTTTTTCTCCGAGTTAGTATGACTCCAATTCCATCCCTTCTCTTCATCGAAAATAACATCTCTACTCACCACCACCTTTCTGGATTTTGGATGAAGTAGTCGGCATGCTTTTGATCCCGGTTCTGTCCCTAGATGAACCAGTATCCTCGATCGATCGTCTAACTTCTTTAGATGTGGTCCTTCTATTTTTACATATCCGATACATCCAAAAATCCGCAGGTGGCTGATGTTAGGTTTTCTTTCACGAAACATCTCATACAGAGTCTTGTCCTTTAGAGCCCTTGTCGATATCCTGTTGAGAAGATATGTTGAGTGCCTCACAGCTTCTCCCCACAGAAAATTCGGAACAGATCTATGTTTTAAAATGCTTCTCGTCATCTCCATTAATGTCCTATTACGTCTCTCAACAACTCCATTTTGTTGAGACGAATATGGAGCTGTAAGGTGACGTTTTATCGCTGAGTTGTCACAAAATGAGTTGAACTCCAATGATACAAACTCACCACCTCTGTCAGTTCGGAAGGTTTGAATCTTTGATCCTGAGTCTTGTTCCACTAAGTTCTTGAATTTCTTGAACTTTTCAAAGGCATCACTTTTCTCCTTTAATAATATTGTCCACATATACCTGGAATAGTCATCGATGAGGACAAATACATATCTGTTTCCTGCAGCCGTTGATGGTGTTATGGGACCACAAAGATCACCGTGAACCAACTCGAGTATCCTGTTTGCTCAAAACAGAGTCGCTTGTGGGAACACATGTCTCGTTTGCTTTCCAAGTAAACAAGATTCGCAGAGATGCTTTTCGATGGCTATACTTGGGATTCCTGATACCAGCTCCTTCTGTATCATGGTTTTGATTGTGTCGACATTCACATGACCCAACCTCTCATGCCATCTGCTCGAACTGATTGCAATTGTCGAATGCAGAAACTCGTCATTCTTGAATCCCATGTGAACTTTGTATAACCGGTTTCTTGATCTAGTCGCCTTGGCTAGTAGTTTTCCATCTCGATCATGCATTATCAGATGTTCCCCTTTCATTTTTACTTCACATCCCGATTCGGTAGCTTGTCCAAGACTAATGATATTGGACTTCAAGTTTGGGATATAATAAACGTCAGTCATCTTTCTTGGTTTGCCGTTTCTATCTGTGAACTCAATCGTTCCTTTCCCTCTAATATCAATCCTGGAATATTCGCCAAATCATACTTTTCCAGTGACAGAGTCATCGATTTGTGCAAAGTATCTTTGATCCCCTGTCATGTGGTTGCTGGCTCCGTTGACAAGGTACCACATGTTGTCATTATTGGCACTTGTTTCATAGATACTCGGCACGACCTTTCCTTCATTCAGGTACACGACTTCATGCATCATTAACTTGTCCGCGTCTTGAGTATCTGTGTTGTCATCTTCCTGTGCTTCTTGTAGCTTAAGCAATCGATCCGGGCAGTTTGAGGCAAAGTGACCCATCTTATCACAACGGTAACAAGTTATTTTGGACATATCTCTCGGTCCATTGTTTCTTCCCCTTCCTCTTCCTCTGCCATAGAAGCGTCTTCCTCGACCTCTGCTTCTATATTCGCCATTGGAATCATGAGTGGATTGGGTATCTGTATTCGCATACATCAATTTACTCTGATCTTCTTGAGCATCTTCTTCCTCGTGGATGCGTTCTTCGTATGCTTTCAAACGTCAAATTATATCTTCAAAACTTGTTGTGTTGAGGTCCAACACTTGTTCAAGCGAAGCAACAATATGAATGTATTTCTTGCGGGGGAGGCTACTAAGGAATTTCTTGACCAACTTCGAGTCTTCGATTGTATTTCCTAAGGCAGCTGATTTGGAGGAAATTTCTGATAGCTTGCTGCTGAAGTCATCAATTGTCTCGGTATCTTTCATCTTAAGCCGATCAAATTCTGACATTAATGTATGCAGCCGAGCTTCTTTCACCCGTTCAGCTCCCATGTGTCTCGTTTTAATGGCCTCCCACACCTTCTTTGCAGTATTCAGTACACCGACTTGTAAAACTAGGGTTTCGGGTATGGATTGAAAAATCAATGCCATGGCTACATCGTTTTTCTTGGTGTCAGCTGACTCGGTTTCTACTATATCCCAAACCTTGTGAACCCTAAGTAGACTCCTCATTCTTATGCCCTATACCGTATAATTCGTAGAGTTCAGCATCGGACATTGAATGGAGGAGGTGCTCGGTTCTTTAGGTCGTGGGTTCGGATTTGGAACAAGATCTCCCATAGTTTGGTATTTCAGAATCTTCGTGATCGAACTTCTTTTCTTAGATCGATTCCTTTAAGGCTCTGATACCAATTATAGAAATCAAAGCTTGTTAAGAACTCAATAACAAAGAATAACTCTCTTTATTAGCTTAAGAAAATAACTCAAAACTTAAGCTCTCAAACACAAACTCATAAGTTATGTCATAACTTTGACATCTCTTTATTTAATAGCTTATTTCCTTTTTCCTAATAGAAACATAATTTCCTTTCTAGATAATTCCTAACAAATTTTTAGATAACTCCTAAGACATTTCTTATTCTAATAGGAAACATATAAGCTTGCTTCTAGAATGTTAACTTCAAGCTTAAGTCAACAAATCAAAGTATACACTTTTATCACCATACTTAGCCACCTCAGAACCAACTCTATACAAAACCGCCAAAAGTAACATCCTTTTACTAACTGCATTTCTCATCAATCCCAAATTGTAAAGCATTCAAATTTGAAGCTTTGCGAGATTCTAAATTGCAAAGCATTCAAATTTTTCTTGTGGATTTGGGTTTGAAGCTTTGCGAGATGGTTTGACAAAGAGCTTAGTTCCGGGGAGAGAGCTTCCTCCGAGTTCTTTCACGGCGGCGATGGTTGCCTAAGCAAGTGAGTGGATTGTTTTGTATTTCCTTCATGGATGGATCTTGTTCTGACACGTGACGAAATTGATTTATTTGTCTGAGATTTCTTATTCCATTTATCAGATGCCACGTGGATCAGTGCAAGATAAGGCTATCTCTAACCCATAACCAAAATTGAGCTAAATCGACGTCACTGTTCTCAGATTGACGAGAAAATCTCTAAAGTTTCAATTTTTTTCTCTGATTCGTCTTCTCAAGCTACAAAATGGCTTCCATCTCTGCAACTTTGCCACCGACATTGCTACTTACTCAGAGAAAATCCAATCTCACATCAATTCAGAAGCTCCCATTTTCTCTAATTCGAGGTAAAGTTTGATCCTTTTTCTTTTTTGATCGGAGATGAAACGTTTCAATATCGAGCTTTCCTTGTAGAGAAACGAAACCATGGCATTGCTCTTATGGTGAAAGCTACTAGAGAAAGTTCAGAGTCATCATCGACTGATCTCAACGTCGTTAGTTCGATTCAGAATGTTGTAAGTCTCGAAAACACTAAAAAAAAAACCAATAAATTGGATTGCTCTATACTCCATTTACACACTTGGTTTTGATTTGGGCATTGTTCTTTTTTTTCTTTCTTGGTATGTAAATTGTTTCAGTGGGATAAGTCTGAAGATCGTTTAGGTCTTATTGGTTTGAGTTTTGCTGCTATCGTAGCTCTTTGGGCTTCACTAAACTTAATCACGGTATACTTATAAAAGACTTAAACTTTTTGGACCTTTTGTGTTTAAAATTTGTGAGGATGTTTCACTATTCTCTTTTCTTTTCTTCATTAGACAATCGACAAATTGCCTGTTATATCGACTGGATTCGAACTAGTTGGAATATTGTTTTCTACGGTAAGTAAAGTTTGACTGTTTGAGATCATATCGACAAGAATATATACATGGATTAGTTCTATTTCTAGTTATGTAACTTAATCGTTGTTTTTCGCAGTGGTTTACATATCGATATCTCTTGTTCAAACCGGACAGGTAATTAAAGATCCTTGTTAAAAACTCTGTTAAGAAACCGAATGCATGTGATTTTTCTAACCTATTAATCTGCTCACTTTCTCAGAGAGGAGCTATCACAAATCGTCAAGAAATCAGTAGCGGATATACTTGGCCAGTAATCGCTTCTGTGATGATTTTGTGTCTGTAATAAGAGTGTGACATGACATATTTTGTTATCTCTGCTCCAGTTTCATGTATTGAACCTGTAAATACTGTAATTGTGGGTTTTGGTTGCTGTTTCTTGTAAACAAGTTAATCGTTTCATACAAGACATCAAGATTATATACAAAAGATGTTTTAGCGTTAATACAAAACATGTCCAAGTTTAAACGCACATGGTTGACAAGTCTGTGAACAAACTCAAGAGATGATTGGAAACACTGGCACATGTGAAAAATCCAATCTGCTCTGTATCTAGAAAACAATCAGATTCTTGATAACATATAAGTAAATTTCACATCTTGTACATGCATAAAACCACCCCAAAAATCACGATTTTGACTTTAATAGGGAAAAAAAAAACGATCAACGAAAATAATCCTTTTGACCCAAAAAAGTAGTTGTGGATGTTAAAACTCACATTATGGCTCCGAATGGTGACAGTGTTTTTTATTGTGCGGAAAAAGCAGTTTTAGAGTGTGGTACGGTTCAACTGCGGTACGTGCAGGAAAATATATTTGCAGGACAAGTGCGGTTTTTATATAATTAGCGGTATACAATAATGTTTGATTGGTGAAAAAAACAGCTTAAAGTCCACAAAAAATTGTTTGAATGGTGAATAAAACTAAAGCGGTACGGATTACAGATTATAGATAAATATATTATAAAAATAAATAATAATTAATATAATTAGAATTAAATTATTAATTTTGGTTAATAAATAAACAATTGTATATATTCAGAACTTCAAATATTTAAAACAATAATTCATAATAAATAAAGTATAATATAATAAAAACAATCATCAAATATTTTGATTCGACAATGTATTTATAATTCTGTCTTTTATTATAAATATAAATAATATATAGGGTATGTGTTTAGAAAAGTATAAAGATTATAATTTATTTGTTAATAAAAATAAATAATATGTATAAATATAACATACATATATCTGTTCATATCATCTATCATATTTAGAAAACCCAAAATTTTGAAAACAATTTAGATTTTAAATTAAACAGACTGCACAAAAAATTATTTTGTGACACATATTTATCATATATTAATAATTAAAAATTAAAATTTTTTAAAAAGTTGCTCGGTGCGTTTTTCTATATGGACTGCTGCACAAACTCTGCGTTCCATTTTAAGTGTGCGGTCCATCAATTATACATGTTACAAAAAGACGCATTCTGTTTTCTGTTTTTTTTATAAAAAAACGCAAATGTGTTATTATATTGTTTGATTGGTAAATGTAATGCGGTTTTCATTTCTTTGTGTAGAATACCGCTTTTAACATGTCACCATTCAATACCTATGTTTGTGAATTTAGATTTTGGAGATTTATAAGGAGAATTCTTCGTTGAAATGAACACATTCCAACTGAGAATGAATAATATAATAGTAATGTATTATAATAGGATGAACATGAACTTTAACACACAATGTCGAGTTTGATATCTAAGAGCATGTCCATTGAAGTTTTATAAGGGTTTGTTAAGAGTTTTTAAACCCATTTTCGGATTTTAAATAAATAAAAAAAGCCCATAGAAAATTTTCTATGGATCGGTCCTTGCAAAAAAAATTTATGGACCGAACATACAAAGTTTTATAAGCCACGTGTTAACTTTTATTGGTTTGCAGAAGAGATGTGTATCGGTGAAATTTTTTTTTGGGTTTCGAAAGTTCTTTCTCCCTCGTCGACATCGACGTTTTTAGACACAACAAATCCCGATCGATCTTGGAGAGAGGAAGAAGATAATCAAAATCAATGGCGGTTGCGTCGAATGGGAGTGAGTATTTCGAATTCGACATGGAGGCTGGTAGGGAATCGTTCGCGCGGCCGTCGAACGCCGAGACAGTGGAGCAAGACGAAGAAGATCTCCGGTAGGCGGCGATCGGGAGGTTACCGTCGCAGAGACAAGGCAGTCATTTAGCGATTCTCCGTTTGCGTTTGCAGACGCATATTTCCGGTTATGCCGACGGTAACGTTGTGCAGACGATTGATGTGAAGAAGCTGGACCGCTCTCATCGCGAATGGTTGTTCGTCAAGCTTTAGCGACTATCAATTAGGATAATTACAAGCTTCTCTCCGCCATCAAGGAACAACTCGATATGTGTGTCTCTGTTTCTATTTCAAATCAAATTATTAAAAAAAAATAATTTTTCAAGAAATCCTTGCCGAGTTCACTAATGGAGGAGGAAAAGCATGAAAGTTTGTTAATTTTTTTTAACACAAAAAAAAATGATACAATAATATTAAAGATCACTTTTTGAGTTTCTTTGATGTACATGGTCTAAGACTAAAGAATCAATGGAAATTTGAATGACTCCTCTATTCCCAAATTCTTATTCTCTGTATCCTTAGAAACATAAGCACAAAACAGCATGAGCAGTCGACACTTTTTATAAAACAGAGGAAAAAATAAATAAATTAGAGAGCAAATTTAAAAAGTGAAAAAAATAGTCCGTATAGAATTGATTACCAAAAACAAACAAACAAAGAAGGTGAGATTGAGAAACAGAAAAAGAAAAGAAAATATTACAATGCGTTTTAATGAAAGAAAATGACTACAAAACGTAGAGTAAGAGTGAAGATACCTAATAACTAGGAAAGACTGTAAGAGCAAAGTATCTCGTCCTCCGAAACGAAAACTACTTTGTGTGGGCAACGCTCTTTATCATGAAAAGTGCAAAATGGTCGAGTTTGGGTATTGTTGGGAAGAATATGAATCTCGTTCTTCTCAATCATTATAGTTTGACCAGGTTTCTGCATATATGGTTCTCTCCCAAGCAAACAATGAACATGAAGAGTGGTGCAGCAGTCATGACATTCATAGAACCCTTCGTTACTTGAGTCGACTAGATTTTTTTCGCATACCTCACACCAGTCAATTTGATCACTTCCTTCTTTCCCTTTCTGAAACGTGATGAAATGTTTGTCATGCTTATACCTTGCTCTGTATGGTAAAGTAGCACATATGAAGCATATAACATAATCACATTCGATGCAATTTAGTTTTCGAAGATAATGATCTTGCTTTTGGCAGATCTGACAAGTTGCTTTCCTTTCTTGTTCTGGGTCTAAAGCTAGGAATAATGGATGCTCATGGCCTTTATAGTCAATTGGTTCAGAAACCAACGCACACCTCATGTCTAGACTGTAATCTCCAACTTCATAGACGAAACCACAGCTAACACGAGAACAAGCATCACACTCGAAGAAATCCTTATAGTGTTTACCTTTACCAGAGACTTTAAGCGTAAGTGGGTGAGGGTGTAAAGCATGGTGTATTTTGCGTGGAGCATTCGCACATGCTTCATGGAGGACAAAGTCACATTGATCCATACATGAATAATAATTACCCTCGTAGATTGGAAGGATGCACGCTTGACAAAATTTGTCTTCATCGTAAACTATGCTGATCTCGAGTTGTAGATGATGGCCATGAGTAAAATGGAGTATTATTCCATCAGCTATCGTCTCAAATGGCTCGACAATTATTTCAGGTTCCTCAGGTACTCCTTCGAGATCCACTCCATCCCACACGTCACTCCGTAAAGCACATCTTGTATGAACAAAATAATCACAACATTTCTTGCAATTATACGCACCACAACTGTTGTCAACCTTTTTACGACAAACTCCGCAAAACCATTTTCCAGATGGAAGAGAAGGGACAAAAGAGATACGGTGACGGTGACGACATATTTTAATGACATGTGGGATATATATAAAAGGATTGATGGACTACAAAGACACATCGAGTACAAACATAAATGGGAGAAGATTTTTCAGTGAGGCCACAAACATCGCAAAGTAAGGAAGCTTGTTTTGGGAACAAGGTAAGTGGGTGGGGATGGCTTTTTGGGTGGTCTATAAAAATGGGTATTGGTTTCATCGCACAAACCGGATGCATAGTAAGTTTGTAGGTGGGACAATGATACATCATGTTATTGAGATATAATTTACAACATATGCAAAGCTGTGAGTAGCAGGGATAGGCGTAAAGTTGGAAAGAAAGGAAGGGATATGAAGGGTGTTTGATCTCAGGTGGAGACTCCACGCATTCTTTGTGGAACATTTGACCACATCTACTTAGGCAGAGATAATAGTCTGTGCCAAGCATTGATTCTTTGCATGCACCACAATGAAATTGATCATAATCAGGTTCTTTATTGTTGCACCAAAAGATAGGGACAACAGGGAGCTTACAGATTTTATCATCGCTGTCGGAACCAAGCAGATGCTGCTGGACTTGTTCATCAGTGTTGTGGAAGTGAGGAGAAGTCGTGTACAGGATAAATCCCTGATCAGTGCGGAAGTAAGGGAAAGTTTTGTTTAGGAGAAATTCAGAAAACGGAATGGTCTCCTCCTGAACTTTGAGACGTAAAGAAGGACAGAGGAAAAGAGGCTGAAGAGGAGGGAGGGCGAGATCACCGGAATCAATGGCTGATTCACCGGAATATATGTGAAATGGCCTTCCATCTATTTCTTCCTCACGAAATACACCAACGGAACTCATTTTTGCAACTGAGACGATTTGGATAGTTTTGTGGTATACATTCTTCTTCTCCTTCTCGATGATCTCATCCCCTTTTATATGTGGAGAAGTTGTCGTTTGGTGTCTAAGTCTTTGGAATGGGCTTACGATATCAGTTGGGCTTTGGCATTTATAAGTCTCGGTTTTAAACAGAAGTGAGCTGGGCCTTACAGTGGAAAATTGGCCCGAGCTCAAATTAGTTAAAAAAGAGAAAACGTTGACCAGTCTTCGTCTTCTTCATTAGAGGAATAACAGAATTGAGAGAGAGGGAGTTCTACAGAGTTTTAGAGAGAGAAAGTCTTCTTCTCGGCGATCGGTGTTACAGCGATCGAGTCGGTCGATCTCGGAGATCTCTGCGTCGGTTCGTGGCGCAAGCTTGTGGCTCTAGTTCTGAGCAAAAGGCTTCTCGGTTCGTCTCCGAAAGTTTTCCCTGCAAATAGCTGTAGAAAGATTCAGCTAAGGTTCACTTGTATCTTCAAAGCTTTGATATAGTGAACGCATGGTAGTTTAGTTCTACCCCCAGATGTACCGCGAGGGAACTGGGTAAACAAATTGCCTGTGTCATTAGTTTAGATTCTTCTTTCCGCAAGAACAACTTAGTAAAATCT